GATATCGAATTTTCAGGTAGCAAGTTTATATGGTGCAACAATCAAGAGGGGACCTCTAGGTTATGGAAACGCCTTGATAGAGTACTAGTTAATTCTGCAACCATTACCTATCTTTCAAGGCTCTCACATCTCCCTAAGATCTTTTTAGATCACTGCCCATTTTGTTATCATAGAGAGAATTTTAGGCCTTCCAAATTTTCGTTTAAGAAAATGTGGACCACTCATGAGAAATTTCAAGCCTTTGTTAGTAGTAGCCATTGGAGTTACAACACTAGTAATAACATTTTCATGAACCTGCATATGAAGCTTATGATGATATGGAGAGAGCTTAAAACATGGAATTGGAAGGTGCTGAGGGACATCAATCAGAAGGTTAATAAAGCTTTAGAAGAGGTCATTCAATCAGAAGCTACTCTCCAGTTATTCTGGAATCAGGAAAACTATGATAAGTGTGTGGCAGCTAAAGGAAAATTATCAAGAGTTGTAGAACAAGAATAAATAATATTGTAGGAAAAATCAAAGGTTAAATGGGTACAAACAAGTGATCGTAACTCTGCATATTTCCATGCATGTATCAGAAAACGTATGAGTAATGCCAGAATTGAAATTAAGGAAGAGGATGACTCAGATTATCAAGATGAATTACAAATGGGCAATTCAGTAGTGGATTATTTTCAAAAAATATTCATGAGTGAAGAGACTTATCTAGAGGATGACTTTCTGAACATATTGCCTTATGTAGTTACTAACGAGCAGAATGATTCTCTCACGGCTATTCCTTAAGCTGATGAGATTAAGGCATTAGTGTTTGATCCAAAAGAAGGTAGTGCCCCAAGGCTAGATGAGTTTACATGAGCCTTTTATAAAAGTTGCTGGAATATCATTGCTAATGATGTAATACTTGCTATCCAGGGGGTATTTAGAGGGGGAAATTCCAAAAGCAATCACTACAACCAATTTGGTTCTCATTCGCAAGTGCTCAAATCCCTTCAGTTTTGAAGATCTTTATCCTATCAGTCTCTGTAACTTCTCCTATAAAATATTATCTCAACTAATTTCAAACATACTGAGTGTTATTCTACCTACTTTAATTTTTAGAGAACAACTTGGCTTTGCCAAAGAAAGACTAATTCATGAGAATGTGGATTTGGCTTAGGAGTTTTTTAAAGATATTGATAGAAAGATTCATGACTTAGGAGCCTTCAATTATTTGATGAACATGTACTCTTATTTATCATCTACTAAAAACTTGATGCTTGTGTTTTTCTATTTATTTTAGAAAACGTGGCTGCACAATCACAATGTTGCACTGAACATTATGAGCTTGGAAAATGCCTACCTGGCATCGATGACAAAAATCAAAGTGGAAAATGCTGGAAGTATTGCCTTAAGAATTGTGATGAAAACAAAGGAGGCGTCTGCAAGTTAAACGGCAAAAAACATCATTGCCATTGTTATTGTTGATTTTGGTGCTATTTCAATAACTTATTAATGAGTTGAGATTTTATTTAATAAAGTTTAATTTTATTGGTTGTTATTTTCTATCAAATAAATTATTCTATTTCGTTTTATTTTTCTCTCAGATGGCATTACTTGGCTTAGATGGCTTTAATTTGACCATTGTGATGTCTAGATTATTTGAATATTAGTATGAAAAGCATATGAGAGATGGTGCAGCAAATTAGGAAGAAGTATTGATCAAGTTCTTTATTATCTTAGTATTTCTTCACCTTGAATACCCTATTGTGCCTTGAACTGATATACCTCATGGAGAAAATTTAATAAATCAAAGGAATTTACAATATGAAGAAAAATGGGCATTTAGCATTTCTCCTTAATAAAACTCTAATCACGGTGCCTTTCCAAACAAATCAAAGGATTTTTTTTTCAAAAAAAAAAATCTTTTGAACAAATCAAAGGAATTTTCTTGATGGAAGCTGTAAAAATATATTTTCCCAATTCAGGAAGACTAGAAAAGGGATTAGTATCATTCAGCAATTAAAAGTTAATTAACTAATCATTGGATTTTGTTACGCACCATTCTTTTGCTTTCTTATTTCTAGGTGTTCTTACATTCTAATCATTCGGGATTTAAATCCTAGTAAATACTATAAGAATCTGTCTTTTATTATTATTATTTTTTATGAATGCACTAATATCTGTGTCAATAGTTTGTTTAAAGCATGATTCAATAAGAATTTATTCTCTATGTTAGTTTTTTATTAACGTTATGTTGTGGGTCCTCCAAAAAAAATGTAAAATTAGTTAAAAAAATCTTTTAGCTTGATGGTTTTCGTTGTATTATGATTTTATTAAAACATATCAAATCAAAGATGACAAAAAATCATTTAATTTTATGATTTTTTTGATCAAAATTTTGTATTTGACTAATATTATTCATTATGTTTTTCATATAAATCGTATCAATTTGTTAGAAATAATCATATTCTAAAATTTAATTCAAAAATCCATTCATAGAGAAAATAAATCAAACTTGTCAATAAATATAAAAAATATAAAAATATTTGGATGACAATCTCTAAAAGAAATGACAAATTAAAAAATAAACTTTAAATAATAAGAATAATAAAATATGAAATATATGTTTATTTTAAAATATAAACGCATATCATATATAATTCTTTCTTGTCAAGCTCTATGTGAAATCCAAAAATTAATGATCTTCATCCAAAAAATCTATTAAAAAAAAAAAAAACTAAGTTAGGGCGTAGGCCTATGCAAGCAAGCATATATATATATATATATATATAAAAAAACATACGTCATTGTTAGTGTATATGCCAAATATTCAATCTTGATTAGATGGTTTGAGTTATTGCAATATTGACATTATTTATTTTATTAATAATAAAAGAAATATTTTTATTAATTCTTAATGTTTGTATTTATTTATTGAATAAAATTAGATATAAGTCAATATAAAATTCTAAACAAATTAAACCTAAACTAGAAATTGACATATGAAGCATGCATGAAACTTTCAAGTCTAATTTTCCCAGATGAATGGCTAAAAAAAAAAATTGAGGAAAAATGGAGGTTATTGGACCTTTAGGCTTAGTGGACTTTCGACCATTGGGCCAAGCCCACCATGCATACCCCTTTTTTCTTCCCGGGCTTGGCTTGACCCAGCCCACTTTCCTCTCTTTTTTTTCTCCCAAACTGGGCTAGACCTAGTCCATTCTCCTTCCTCTCTAGCTTGTTCTTTCTTTCTTTCTTCTTTCTTTCTTATCTCCTTTCTATTTTCCTAGTCCGAATGCACTTTCCCCTCTTTTTTATTCTTCTTATCCCTCACCCCTTCTCCAAGTTCTTAGCCAAACTACCCCTTCTCCTCACTTCATTGTCAACACCCTAAGGATTTGAGCATTAAGAGATCACCATGATAGTGAAAGTGTCACTGTCATTTACATCTTCTTTTTGTTCTTGAAATTTAAATTGAACTGCTAGAAATAACTAAATAAATGAACATAAAATGAAGGTTGGATTACCTGAATGAAGCTCAAGAATTGTAAACACAAAAATTCGAATGTTTGTGATGTTGTTCTTCCTCTATTTGCAGATGCTTGGGGACGGTCACAATGACTGGGTTTGATTGCGTGTTTCATACCTAGAAACAAGTTGAAAATGAACCCAAACAAGAACTAGATGATTGTGAACTAAATGGTTTCTATAAACGCTGAAGAATATTGTCTTTTTTTGCTTAAAACCTAGATTGTTCTTCCTTAAAAACCTAGAAGATTGAAAACCCTAGAATCGATCCTCAATCCCCAAAACCCCTCTCTTTCTCTCTCTTTATCTCTCTTGGTCCCTCCTTAAAGCTTGCAATAAGGCTCAATTTATAACCCCATTGCATTGGATTTCCACTTTAGAATCGTTCTCAAACGATCCAAACCCTTGCTTGCTAAAATCAAAACTGATAGTGAGACTCTTTACCATTTATGAACAAAAACATTTTTCAACAAAAACGAAATGTGAGTGTAGTGTTTTGTTTATGGGTCGGTACAGGTGGTACAGGTGAGTGGTGTGAAGCGTGATTCTTGAATGATACAAATACTAGCTAGGAATTTCAGCTATGAACAAACTTGTCTTCATTGGTAGAAGACAATGAAAAATATGGAGAGAGGGAGATTCATTTTAGGTTGCAGTTAACAACAGGTCATTTGGTCGATTTTGATCTTGTCGTTCGCTCTTCAATTTCAATTTGGTCCCTAACCCCTTGTTTGGATAGGGTGGAAAGTGAGGGAGAGGAAAGAAAATAAGGAGGAAATGAAAAATTTCCTCCGTTTGGTTTGCAGAAGAAAGCTGGGGAAAGAAAAAAAAATATTAAACAAAGCTAAAAGTGGTGGGATCCATTTTCCTCTCAAAATTGAGAGGAAATGGGGAGAAAAACGGAAAGAAACTGATTTGTCTCATTTTTCTTCCAGTTTCGCCCTTGCCAGGCGTGCCTTCTCTTTCTCTTCCCTGCCCATCTCGTCTCTGCGCAAAGCCACTCTCTTGCTCTCGCTTACCAACAGCCCATACATGTAGCAAGAGTCAGAAAAACCAAAGCAAATACAGCAGGATAAATGCTTTAATCTAAGAATGCTCTGATGCGGCATTGAGCAGTCCTTGCAACCGAGACAACCATTGCAGTGAACAGAAGCTGAGCAGCCAAGAAATCGTAAACTTTCTTCACAAGTCCTATTTTTTAAAATTTCTTCTTTTTCTTCTTCATTGTTTTCAACTTGGCCATTAGGGCTGAAATTCCATATCATTTTATGGTTTCCGTTGTAAGGTAGTTAAAAAAGCTTGATCGGGTAATTGTTTGTGTTTGTTGAGAAGAGAGAAGGAGTGAAAGAGAACGGTTTTTGGACGAAAACGGAACCTGATTTGTAGGTAGTAAACCAGAATTTGGTCGGTTCAGGTTCAAGGACTGGTTTGATTAGAAAGCAACTCTATTTTTTTTGCCCTCTGTTACACGGGGGATCCCAGAGAGTATTAAAATGGGAGAGGTCAGGGGGAAGCTTCTTTGGAGCAATGGGCTAATCGCAGTCTTTCTTATATTCTTGATTTCATATGATTTTGTCCTTCATAAACTTTACTCTCCTATGGCTATATTATAGGTTCTTATCTTCAGTTAAGGTTTTGGCCTTGGGTAAAAAACATTTGATTTGAATGCTTAAAGTAAAGAATTTGATTTAACCAAATGTCCAAAGTAGAGGGACCAAGCATGATGCTTAGCTAAGGAGGATAGACGAAGCCAAGCACCCAACCATCAAATGACCCAAAATTACTTTGTTCAAGTTTTTGACAGAACCAGCTTGCTTCTGCTCTCAGGTCTCTTTCTTTAATTCTGTTTTTCAACTGTCTTGTGATCTTTCTTTATCTTCCAACAATCTTTGATATCTCGATGGTTAAAATAGTGCAGATACTGTCATCAACATTCCATCAGACGTGTAGTTGTTGGTAAAGGCTCAAATTGTCTCTTCGATAATCTGGTTTCTGATGGTTGTGTTATATTGAACCGGATTGAGTTCTTGGACAAGATACAGCATGGAGTTTATAGAGTTGGAAGTGGATTTCGATTTTACCATTTAGGTGTGCAATGTTGCAATGAAGGTTTTACAGGTCTTGAATTTGCAGGAGGAATTCCTGGGACTGTAGGCGGAGCTACTTACATGAATGGTGTGGAGCTAATGGGCAGGTAATTCTTAGCTAATGGGAGTTGCAGCAGTTGAGTTAATTGAGAAAGCTGGATTGAAAGGTTCCAGAGTTGGTGGAGCAATGATTTCTTACATCCATGCCAATTTCTTCATAAATGCTGATGGTTCAACTTCTCAAAACATGCTTGAGCTCATTGCTTTGGCTAAGGAGAAGGTAGATCAAAAGTTTGGGGTGCAACTTAAGGAAGAAATAATACATGTTCATACATATTGTGATGGCTTGATCCACAAAAGAGACAAACAACAAGCAATCTAATATCTGATGATGAAAGAAAACGAAAGTTTTTAGAAAGAGAATAAGTTCATAAAAGGCTGATACGTTTTGTTTTTTTTTTCCTCCATATTGGAAAGTTCAAATTTTCTCAACCTACAAATCAGTTTGATTGTTTCAGCACAAGCCAATCATTAATTACATGCCATGTCTAGTAGCTTTGGGCACTTTTGGTTAGTGCTTTAGTCACGACATGAGTAACAATTCCAATCGGGCAAAAGAGCAAGCAAAGGGAAACTGAATGCCGAGTCTCAACTTCATTTTCTAGTCCTTCATTAAATACCTGCCTGGATAATCATAATGGCAGAAGTGTTAGAACTGCAAAAGAAAAAAAGAGGGATGGAGAGGGGAAATGGACAGACCTTACAGCAAAGAGGTCTACAGCTAACAAATGAATCCATGCTAAAGCTAGTGTCATCTCACTGGAGAACATTTTTGCTATACCAGGCAGCTGCATACAAAAACTAGGAAGAAGTTTTTGTTTTCACAGTAAACAGACATCTGCTTCAAAAATTAAAGGGGAAAACAAAAAAGCAAGGATATTAGGCTCATACCTCTGGTAACCAGTATTGACTTGTAAACATCATACGTATTGTGTCAGGTGTCCAAGAGAGGCATAATAGAAATGCATATATAAGTCCCAGCACAACATATGGAATGCTACTTTCCATAGACTTTCTAGTCTGCATTTTGGTCAAAATTTAATCAATTATGCTGATTGTTTGAAAATAAGGCGTAACAATAAGCTTCCAAGGGAAATCATATGCAAACAGAAGTTAAAGGCCGACATGGGATTCAACAAAACTGCAGAAAGAAATAACAATCTTGACTTGAAATTTATTATCTTAAAATGCTAGTTGAAAAAAAGAAAGATTCAGCAAAAGCATTGTGACAAAACTGCAAAAAGAAATAACAATCTTGACTTGAAATTTTATGTGGATAATTAATCTAAATTGGTTATTGCATTAATTAATTAATAAACAGTTGTCAATTATTCTATGGAGACGATTCATTATCTAACTTATCATTTTAGATATATGCTACATGCTAGATTTTTATTTTATCATCATTTGTGTTATTTTCATTAAAAAAATATTCATACAAATTTATTATAAGTATTTAAATATATAAATATAATCACAAGGGTATTATAATAAATATACAATAATACATTTTCTTTCCTTCCTCTTTTTATAATTATCCAAACAAAGGAAATGTATTTTCTTTCCTTTCCTTTCCACTCTTATCCAAACAACAAGTGGAAAATGATTTTCTTTCTTCTCTCTTTTTTTTCTCTCACTTTCTTTCCTCTCTGTTCTTTCCTCCCAAGAGGAATTATCCAAACAAGGGGTAAATGTTTTAATTCCCTATAATTACACTCTTGATTTTCATTTCAATTGTACCCCTATTGGCTTTCAATTTCAGTTCCGATTTCATTCAATTGCATCCCTATTTTATTCAATTTTATCTCTAATTGACTTTCAATTTCAAATCTTTTGGATTTCAAATCTGATTGTTTTCAATTTCAATCCGCCACTCCCTTTAATTATACCCCTAATATTTCATGCAATATTGTTTTTTTTCTTGTGTTTATGTTTTTTGTATTTTCATTTTCCTCCTTTTTATTTTGATAAATTGATTACGTAATAAAACTCCCTTTTTAAAAAAAATAAAAGATAATTCCTAAAATTAAACATAAAGCTAATAATTGTAAAAATAAATCAGAATAAATATAAAAATAAAAGTAAAAATAAATAAATAAAATGAAAAATACTAAAAATTAAATATAACCCAAATTTTGGGTTATGACAATAAATACAGCTAAACCCATATGGGAGATGGTGACCTCATTTGGGAGGTCAGATTGATAAAGATGGGATTTGATATTTCACTTGTAAAACAAATAAATAATTTCATACAATCAGTTCTTCATTGGTTTCTTTATTTTAGAGAAATATATATTTTGGAATTCGTAGGGTGCGAGCGTGTTTGGCAAGTTTAGATTTGTCAAAAATAAATCATTAGAGTTTTCCTTCTCAAAAACTTAATAGTAGTTGTAGTTATTAAAATAACACGTAAACATAGACGAATACACAATGGGAGCAGTGGGGGCACTTGCCCCCACTGACCCCACCAAAATATTTCTTTTAATATATATATATATATATATATATACTTATTTAATTTAGAAGAAGAAGGGATGGTCAAAGCCATTTTGCCCCCATGTGCAGAGACAAATCTGCAAGGCCCCATCAAAAACTAATATATATATATATAATTTAGAAGAAGAGAGAAAATTCAAACTTTTACCTATATGCCACACCCACGTGTATGTCTTTCTTTCCTTTTCTAGTGGTCTCGTTCTTCTTTCTTTTTCACCTTTATCTTTTCATCTTTTGTTTTTTCACTCTCTCTCTTGTCTTCTTCTTGTACAGCTTCCATTTCTTTTTTCTTTTTTTTTCAAGTCAAGAGTTTATATCTTTGTTATTGAAAAATCAAGTGAAGTGGAGATTAGGCTTTTGGATCTCAATAGAAAATTAGGTTATTTTTTTTCTTTTTTTGTTTCTCAATTATCTATTTTTAACTTTCTATCATGCAATATATATTAATATATGTATATGTATTTTTGATACCTAACTTTTATAATATTAACATAGAGAAACATTGAGAAGTACATTACCCATAGATTCAAAGTGGGGTGGTTAAATTGATATGTAATTGAAATCCTTGTTAGTTTAAAGGATCAATTTAGAATAATTGTCTTTTTGGAAGGTAAAGATGGCATGTTTGAGAATAGGGAGAATCATGATTCTTGTGAATTTTATGATTAGATTTGGTCATATTTCCATAAGTGTGTGAGGGTAATTAATTATAGTTCTCATGATAAACTTGGCTCATGATTCATAAATAAATAAAAAGGATAAATTGAGATGTTGCATTAATTATATATGTTGGCTTGGTTTTCTTTTGCAATCTACAATTAATGAATTAAACCCATCATTTTTAGGCTCTAATTATTTAGAGGAAAAAAATATATATAATAAAAGTTAGAAAGTATATGAAATTTTGTTGCTATAATTATAAAAGGAGCTTGTCTAATAACCCTTCTATTAATTTATTACTCATATTGTCTTACATTGCTATTTCAACTTGTTGCTTTGTGCTATATGAGATTGATGTGGTATTATTTCAATTCATTTAATTTTGAATTTGGTTTAAATTAATTATGAACTTCAACTTGTTGCTTTGTGCTATATGAGATTGATGTGGTAATATTTCAATTCATTCAATTTTGAATGTGGTTCAAATTAATTATTAATTTCCATGGTGCTATTAAGTTTGTGCCCATATATATTATTCTTTTGTAACCATATATGATATATATTATTCTTTTGGGCTCATTATTGAATTATTTTTATATGATGTAGTTATGGAGAAATATTTTAAAAGAAAATAAATTATCAAGGAACCATCAAGCGACAACGAGCACTAGTACAAGAGAAGAGCAAAGTTCTTCCAAACAACCGCGTTTGGAAATTGATTTGGATGATTTATATTCGGATCCTGGATTAAGAAAACAAATTTTAGATTATCATCCAAATGATCAAGTTAGAATTCAAAGAGCTTATTTGCAAAAGGGTCCATGTCAACCTCATGAACATGATTTCCCACAAAGAAGGATTGGAAAGATGTTAAGGAGATTTGTTCTTTCTTGGTTTAAGAAGTATAAAACCTAGTTGGAGTACAGTATAACTATACTAAAGATGTCGCCTTTTGTCTATGTTGCTATCTTTATGGAGTTGATATTAGAGAGAAGGCAAATGGTGATTATTTTACTATTGAAGGCTTTACTAATTGAAAAAATAAAGAAAGATTTCAAGTTCATGTTGGAAGCCACAATAGTGCTCACGAGTGAAGCTTAGAGAAAATGTCAAAATCTAATAAATCAAAAACAACATATTAATGTCATTTTTTAGGCTCAATCAAATCAAGCTCGAAGAGATTATCGAATTCGTCTAACCACGACAATTGATTGCATCCAATTTCTTTTACGTCAAGGATTGGCTTTTTGTGGCAATTATGAATTAGAAAATTCCGATAATCAAGGTAATTTTCTAGAACTTTTACACTTTCTTGCCGATCATAATGAAGTCATAAGGAATGTGGTTTTAGAAAATGCTTGTGGTAATGTTAAACTTGTTGCTTTTGAGATCCAAAAGGATATTGTGCATGCTTCGCTTCAATTAAAACCACTAATGCCATCATCGGTGATCTTCAAGATGATTTGTTTGCTATATTAATTGATTAGTCTTAGGATATATCAATGAAAGAACTAATGGCAGTTATGATGCAATATGTAGATGCTAAAGGATGTGTAATTGAACGTTTTCTTGGTATTATGCATGTTAGTGACACTTCGACTCTCTCACTTAAGTTGGCAATTGAAGCATTATTCTCTAAACATTCTTTGAGTTTGTCTCGTTTGTGCGGTCAAGGATATGATGGGGCTAGCAATATGCAAGGTGAATTTAATGGCTTAAAGGCATTGATCATGAAAGAAAATCCAACTGCATTTTATGTCCATTGTTTTGTTCATCGGTTACAATTAGCTCTTGTTGCTTTGGTAAAAAATCATGCTCAAATTGCTTTGTTATTCAACACTATTTCTAATTTATCAAATGTTGTTAGAGCTTCATGTAAAACAAAAGATCTTCTTCGTGAAAAACAAGATAGCAAGGTTGTTGAAGCACTTCAAAGTGGTGAAATTCAAATTGGCGAGGGTTTAAATCAAGAAACTTCCCTTCAATGAGCAGGTGATACTCGATGGGGTTCGCATTATGGATCATTAGTGAATCTTATTGTTATGTTTGCATCCGTAGTTGGTGTGCTTGAGATAATTAAGAATGAAGGTAAAAAATCGTAGCAAAGAGGTGAAGCGTATGCCGTTCTTAATTTAATGCGATCTTTTGAGTTTGTTTTCAACTTGCATTTGATGAAAAAAAATATTGGGGATTACAAATGAGTTGTCCCAATCATTACAAAGAAAAGATCAAGACTTCATCAATGCAATAGCTTTAGTTAATGTGTCAAAGAAGCGGCTTCAAATGATAAGAGATAGTGGATGGACATCTTTTTTTTATGATGTTTATGGTATTGTTGTTCCAAGAATGGATGATATGTTTGTTATTCCAGGGCCCCCTCGAAGAAATGCTCAAAAAGTGGCAAACTTACATCATTACCAAGTTGAGTTATTTTATATTGTAATTGACATGCAACTTCAAAAGTTGAACAATCAATTCGTGGAGGTGAACATAGAAATTCTTCTTTGTGTGGCTTGTTTAAATCCTATTGATTTTTTTCAAGCTTTCGATAGGAAGAAAATCATTCATCTTGCCACATTTTATCCATCCGATTTTTTCAATGTGAATCTTGTTAAACTTGAAGATCAACTTGAGAATTATATCATTGATGTGAGATCTAATGAACAATTTTTTGGCCTTAAAAGGATTGGAGATCTTGCTAAAAAGCTAGTTGAAACAGAGAAGAATGAACTATATTATTTAGTTTATTTGCTTTTGAAACTAGCTTTGATTTTACTAGTGGTTACTTGCGTCTGTAGAGAGGGTTTTTTCTGCAATGAAGATAGTGAAGACTCGACTCTGCAATTGCTTAAGAGATGCTTTGTTGAATGATTGTTTGGTTACATATATTAAGAGGGAGATATTCAATAGCATCGATAATGAAAATATTATTCAACGATTGCAAAAATGAAATCTCGTCGTGAATAATTATAATTTTATGATATGTTATAAAAGATTGTAATTGTGCCATTGATTTTTATCTAAATTTATAATTTATAATTTGTCCTGGTGAAAAATATTTCTAGATTCGTCCCTGCTTGTAAAGAAGGATATATATTATATACAACTGTACGTAGATTTTTCCTTATAACGAAAGGATTCATTCATCTCCGTTTTTATACCTTCTGCCTTCCGTTTTTCAAATCAGCGTACAATTTCTTGTAATTTTCTTCTTTTTCCATATTCTCTCTCTGATCCTTCCGAAATGATCATGCAATCTGTCATGGCCACTACTAGTGATGACACAATGTCTTCTAATTATAACTACCGATACTGGGATTTTCAGCAAGATCACATTCTCTTTAAGTATAAGAAACTTGTCGATGACTTGCCTGTCTCTGCCAAAACCAAGGGTTTTATAATGGAGTTTCGATATCAAGAAAAGCTTCAACGTCAGTATCAGCCCTACAACGACACTCGATTGTTGCATTCTTCAACTGAACTAGTCTACGTTAAAGGTAGGGCTTCACATTCTAAGATCGCCATGGAACAAATCTTGTGCCCTAGACTTTGTTTAATGGGTATACCTCAAGAAGACCACGAGAGATTAGTGCAAGAAACCCTTTGTTCCACTAGCAAACATGGATATAAAAAAGCTGCTGGGCCGGTCCCCATTGTTGTGGAGATTGTGTTGTTTAGTGTTGTGAAGGATAAGGGTCAGGAGGAGAAGGTGATGGATTTGTCCAGGGAGAGATCAATGAAAAATCAAAGATTCAAATCGGTGCCAGTAATAGGTAAATATGGTAGATTCGTTAAGGGATTGAAGAAAGTAGGACTTGTGTACGAGGATATGGATGTTTGTGGGATATGTCTGCAAAGACTAGAAGACAAGCTTTTCGGGGCAACTTGGTTGCCATGTTCACATGCCTATCATGGATCTTGCATTGGCAAGTGGTTTGACACCAGTCCTTCTTGCCCTACTTGCCGCTTCCAATTCACTGAAGGTCGAAGTTCTTGATATAGTCCTCTATTGTGTACCAGTTCAGGACAACTCATGAGTTAAGCAAATGCAGAGATCTCTGCTCTTTTCTTTCTTTCCTTTTTTCTTTTTTCCTCTTACAGTAATGGAAACTACTGTTCTTTATTGTTGTTATTTTTTTAACAAGTTTCTTTATTAAGAAATTAGTTGTTAATGCCAACGTCATTAGGAGGCTAAATATGGCTGCTTTTTACACGTGTTTTGGTTATTAATCTTCTATCAAAGATCATTCTTTTCTTTTTATTTTTTTATTTATTTATTTTTTTTTGGACATGCAACTGATGATTGTTCGAAACAGAGGATGTCATTCATAGCCCATAGTTGTGCTTTATTATTTTTTATTTTTTTCAAGGTGAGACTTTTGTTCAAATTCGTTTTGCTAATTTTGGCTTATAAATTATATAAAAATCTGAAGTTGCTTGTCTCCCTTACCTGTATCAAGATTCACACATTGCAACAAAAACAAGGAAAAAGAAAGAATCGAGAGAAAAGAGTAAAGCCAATCCATTAAAAGCATCACGCAAATCTCAAACTCGTACATGGTTAGTGCCTTTGGGGTGAAACATATTTGACCCACACAACTATTCAAAACATTAAAATGTTAACAACCCAACATCGCACAAATACACTCAAACTTGGTGCACAAGAATTTGCCACAGCTCAACTGTAAGGACCAGAAAGTATCACTGGAAAATTGAAAAAAAATTAAAAAAAATGACATAACTGCTAGCCGTATGCTACAATGTACAAATCAAGCCGAGAGCGTGACATTCTCGTTTGGCACAAGGAGATGATCAATTACATCCAGAGGAACCAATCAGTGATGCCGTAAGGTGAGAACCCAAGATTTGTAGAACACGACATGTTGGCTTCACATCCTGCAGAGTTTTATGGCGGCTACCATGCATAAACTATATTTTCAATTAGCAGTCTGGAAGAGACTGGGCAGAGGCAAATGGGGAGAAACTTGCAGCAGACTCACTGCAATGCAATGGGCGTGGCTGATGACTGGAGCTAACCATACTTGGGGAGGCATTACTTGGGCTAGGAATATATGCAGACATGTATCTTGTGTTCAAGGGTGATATTGATGGGTAGCCCAAAGAATGGGGTGAAACCAAACAGGAAGTAAGGGATCTTTGGGAAGACATGTGCCTAAGATCAGCTGAGCTCTGACTTACACCTATGGAAGGCGAGTGCCGGTAAGATATAAACGACTGCTGGACATGAGTGCTAGAAAGAGAGGGAATGTGAGAAACAGAAGGGGTCCTTGAAGGAGCAATTTGTATGGCAGTTGACGTTCCAGATCTAAAAGATGACAGCATGGATGATGAAGCCAAAGAGGAGGGGTTGGATGAGAGCAATGGTGTGGATTCTGATGCTGGTGGATCCCCTGTGCTAGTTCTTGCATCACGCTTGCATACAGGACAAAAAGTTCTCCATGTAGTAAGCCAAGAATCGACACAGCAAGCATGGAATTCTGCACAAGTTTCAAGATAATATGGTTCAATTGATAGAGACAAGTAATTAATACAATAGTTGTCAAAAGCTTTAAAAAGATACTTGCATTATTTCTAGTTGGCAGAGTGTAAGGGTAGTTGAAAATAATATTATCATTAACTGTTATATAGAGATTATTACATTGCAACAAAGCATCAGCCACAATCTGGTTTGTTTGGTTGGGTTGTCTTATATTGTAACTGTTTAACTGAAATCCTAAGTAACAATCAAGTTAGGATAGTCAAGTTAGAATATCTATTTTTATACCACACTATCTAAGACAGACATCTTCCAGAGAATACTTCAACCATTAATTTTCTTCACCTACCATGCACTCTTTTCGTTATTTCATTTTGATAAGAGCAAAAATCACCCTTATATTAGATAAAAAATTCTTCAACAGGAGCTGCTTTCCATTTTCATGATATATTCAATTCTTATTCCATCATTTTGGATTTCCAATTCCAATGATGCTTAATGTTCTAAATCTATCATACCAACTTTACCAAGAATGTTGATTTGCATTTACAGAAAATATACCATAAAACAAGGTTGCAATCATACTAGTCATATAAACCTACCATTCAATTTTCACTTCACTCCTATTTCTATTTCAAGTTTTACTAAATTTGCATTCACTAACTCAAGACCGAATCCTACTTGATTCACCACTAATGCATTCCTCACATATCTAACTTCTGAATCCTGTACCTACTTTCATCTTTGATGTTCTTGATAAATTACCTGGAAGCAATTGGTTTCTAAGGTACATCCATTTCACTACGTGTAAATGTCAGAAAGGCTTACATAATTTACTATCAGCACATTCCATTCATGTGCATAAATTCGCAAGTCCAACAAATAAAATGGGAAAAAAAAATTACTTCTTTTGCTTTTTCCAAAATTGTTCCTTTCAGGTACAGCATCTACAATGCTCCAATAAACATTTGCACAAGACATGCCAACAAGACATTTTCAATTGCTCACGACGACACTATAGAATGCCCTAATCAATGAAGCACCGTAAATGGTAAATCTTTTAGTTTCAAAAAACTTTCCTTTCTTTGCCTGTTCCGTGCTTGAGTGGATTTGGGGACCACAAATATACTTGTCTGGTAAACTGGCATTAACCAGAATAATAGGGGCAACCAGACCAAATAAGTTAAAATAAGATGCCAATCTGACTTTAATGCACACAAGCAATTTTCCAGTCGGCGGCCACTATAATTCTACTATCCCTCTAAACTATCTCAAAAACCTATTTGAAATTGAAATTACAGTGGCTACACACTAAACCCACCACCTTAAAACAATATGAAAACAACTAAACAAGTGACACAAAATTGAATTATGCAAAGAAAATATATTAAATAAGCACATATTAGCAAGTATATCATCTTCGTCAGAAAACCAAAGGAAAAAAGAAGACTTACTGTGTCGACATGGCAGAATCCTGAGTTTTTCTCCAACAGTATAATCTTCTAGGCATATGGCGCATGTAGTTGAAGTACAATTATCATCTAAAACGGAAGTAAATGTGAGGCTAGGCATTGCTTTCACTAAGCGGCTGCTCATCCCATGGAATTCCCGAGCACGGGAAGAGCGAGGGCGCTCTCTTCTTATCCGATGTCTGCGGACGAAGAAACAAGTTGCCAATACTGCAGACATCGCAAGAAGAGAAATAAAAGAGATGGCCATAATAGACCATGCTGAATTTTCAAAGCTTGGGATTATCCACAGCTCAAATTCAGTCAACCCAGCATACTTCTTAAGTGTTTCACCTGATTTTTTTGAAACAAAGACGGCATGTATTTTTACACCAGCTGAGTTTCCTGCCACTGAAATTTTTCCAGCATTCTGAATTAAGATATGCATGATAACAAAATACTTTGTTTTGTCATTTATAAATGTGAGTGAGAGAGAAAGAGAGATTAGCCACAGAAAGAGCAATAACAAATTAGAGAACAATAGAAAAGAGGCTATTCAAATAAATTTCCTGGTACTGAGTAAGGATTTACCTACTACAAATTTTGATCAGGAAGGTGAAACAAATCATACAACAAAACTATGAAAGCAGCCTAAAAAACGCAGAGCTGAAGGGATGCTAATTACAGTCTCTGCTAAGTGCCATACTTCATGCCATAAGGCTAATGTCCCTCCTATTAGCCCCTTTTGTTAGTGGCTAACAATGAGGAATCCTACAATCTCATGCCATAATTTCATATATCTATACATAATGGGACCACAGTTATGCAGTTATGTAATGGATTAAGAGCCCATGACATCATAACCTGTTTTACAACAGGGTTAAATGCTAGTAGTACTCTGCACCAGCTGTCTCATAACACCTGATACACTAAAGCATTGCTCAAAACACTTAGTTTCAGTTGTGTACATCGGAGGATTACAATTAATAGATTTAAATCATTACATTCGTGTATATGCAATTATTCACAAGTTCAATAGTGTGACCACTGATACAATGTGAAACCATGATTCTACCTTCTTCTTCAACACCATGCTAAAATGCCTAAAGGCCATTGTGCCATGGAAATCAAGACAGGGTTGAGACCCAAAAAGGAGAAGAATAAATCAAATCTCATCATCGTTGACAAATTACTCCTTATTTATTTCCACAGGTTAGTAGCGAAATCTGCAACAAGCTTTCCTAGTAACAGATCTGCTACCAAATTAGAGGTACAAAAAAACAGATAGCTGTAAATGGCTCTAATGTTCAACTAAACACCTAAGAAGAATAAGAAGATGACATCAATGAACTAATACCATTTCCACATTGTTTTTTTCCATCTAAGATAGATGTAAAATTAGCTGCAAAAATTATGAGCCAGAACAAGAATCACATTGCTAACAAGCTAGATCATGAAATCCAACATACAAGTAGAAATTGAATAAACACTAACAAGCTAGCTCATGAAATACAAGGAATCGATGGTAAGACCATGGTACAGTAAATCAGAACTGAAAAGGAGTTGGAGCAGCTCCCTTCGACAGCAAAAAGTACATAAGCATTCATGTGTTGCTGACAAAATTTATGAGTCAATCCTTGAAATTATCAACAAGTTCTCATGCCATTAAAGATTCATGTTCACAACAACAAACAACTGAGCAGTGAATAAATATCAATTTTCACAATGGAAAAGGTCTTACTTGCTACTAAAACTCCTTCTTCATTGTCATAGACAATAGCAGCTTTGAACCCTGCCTTTTGTGCACTTCTAACTTTATCCTCAAAGCTACACCCTCCTCTAATAATCAACGCAAACGGAGAGCTACCATTCGAACGCTTTTCAGCTTTATTAGTCAAATCCGAGCATGCATCAATAGGCTCTGCCAAATATAACACCCCACATTCACCTGAGCCCTTTATTCCCGGAGCTGAATTTATCAACAAAACCAAGAATCAGCATGGACACATAAATATGTAAGCAACTATGTATGCAAAACATTCTTGCATCAACGATTCTGAGATTCAAATTCCTTAAATTTGCACATAAAGCCATAATTGTAACACAATCTGATAAACCCACTTTTCAACACATTAAATTAAAGCTTATAGAAATACTATTTTGTGTTTCCAATAGTTAATCGATACAAAGCATTAAAAAAATATATATACCAACTTTTAAGACACCCAATTAGCATATTAAGCTTAATTCAATGAAAAGTTTCAATCTTTTCAGCTCTAGCAATAGAAGAGCCTCACTTTCTTTCATTTTCCTTCACTTTCTAAGCAATCAAACACCGAAACAAACATAAAAAAGAAGATAAAAGAAAAACTCACCGAAATTAGCTTCGATATCGTCGAAAGCCTTGGTACCATTATTGCCAATCAAAACGACATTAGCTGATGCCACCAAACAGCAACTCAATAAAGATAAAAATAAAACCACGACACCCTTCATTGATTTCGATTATAAAAAGATAATAAATAAAACCCTAAAATATTTCAGAGAGAGGAAGACCAAAAATGGGATTTTTTTTTTCCTTTTTCTTCTATGGTTTATGTTAGGGTTTTGATTTTGATGGGAATGGATACATCAGCTTCCATCTGAGCGAGAGAGTATCTGAATCTTTTGATCCTGATTTAGGGTTTTGATGCTTTCGATTTGCATATAAAAGGTTTTGGTTTGTCGGTATGAAGGCAAACAAATAGAGAGAGAGAGAGAGAGAGAGAGAGAGAGAGAGAGAGAATACTATATCCTTTGAAATTGAAAGCTTATGCTGATCAGATTGGAAGTGTCCTCTTTCAGGTTTCCCAAAACTTTATCTTATTGTTCATCATAAATATAGTAATAGATTAAAGTAATTTCTTAGTTGGAATTATTAATATTATTACTCAAATGGAGTGATTGTAGGAATATTTAATTGGTATGCAGATTCATGATTTATAATTGAAATTGTTATTATCTTTTGCATCCAACAAGGGGCGTCTAGATTAGTCCAAAAAAGATGTGTGTTCACTGTATTGTGGATGAGAAGCAAGAAAGAAAATGAATTTTGTATTGAACATGTAGGCCACTTGTATAATTAGGTGGTCCCTATGCACTCGGTTTGTTTCATGATCTGGTTTGTGTGCATATTTCATAGGTCACCATCTTGATTTTCTAAGAAAATGACAAATATATGGGTGAGTATAAAGTTAATAATTGTAACTTTAGATTTAGTTGGTACAATTATACAAAACAAATATATAATGTTTAATCAAGCCTAGAAATAGGTAGGTTCAAGAGATAGGGATGAAGATCATGCTTAAATAGGTTAGCTCTTTTATTCTATTTTCTAAATTCCAAATATTAGGACCTAACACCTAAAAAATTTATTCTCTTTGTTATAGCAATTTAATACGAGAAATGTGTTCTTGAAATAAACTTGAGGATACCAAATACTCTTTACTCTTCATAATGTATATATTAGTCCGGTTAGCAAATAAATAAAACAATTACTAAACCGATCCAATTCTCTAAGGAGGCATGTCATTCATTCATCTCATCAATTAAAAAGGCACGCCATTCATCCCTTGAAGAGAGAGCTTATTTATTTTAAGAGAAAATAAGTAAAAATGCACATTGGCTTTTTAAAACATAAAACAGATCAACCTTATAACTCGGGTTGTTTGTCCGGTCAAATGTGGATCCGATGAGTTGATTGAAGAACTTATAACTAAGAATTTCGCTAAATCAAAGATCCAGTCTCATTCTCATGACATTGTTTATAGACTTTCTAAGTGAAGAAATTGCAAGAGTATGTATAAGATATATGGGATTATGAGTGACAAAAATACTAGTATTGTTTTATTGGATAACATATTATCATGTTCCTAACTTTGATGGCTCATGTTTATAGGAAGGACAAAAATAAATCAAACGACAGTTTGGATAGACGTCTACATTGTGAAATTAAAGCTCCGCATGAGTTGTACATAATTCAAATCTCAAGAGACTCGTTATGGTTTTGATAGATGAAATTAACCTATTCCTAATTAATTTTAAAATAAAAAAGTAAGATGATGCAATGCCATGTAAATTGTGACTATCGTTATCAAAGGTGAGCTCTTTCTACATGATTCTAAAAAGTATGAAGTAATAAGATTTCATTTCTAAATCTAAGATTTTACACATGATTTTGAAGAGGTGATATTTTGCCACCTCCAAACTATTAATATCCCCATAAATCCGTTTAATTTAAAGGATTAGTGTGATAATTAAAGAGTTTTCTCCCTTTTTTTCCTTAATTTTTTTAGGTTTAAATTTTGGAATTAGTACTTCTAAGTATTCATTAAATTCCTTTAAATACACCACATCCGATAATGCTTGAGTTTTCCAGGCATTGAGATTTATTGAGCTTGACATTCAACCTCCTAGTGGGGTGTGCATAATGATGGTGGTGTCTTTTTATGTTTTGTATGCATGGAGAAGAAACACTAGAGTTATTAATGTCAAATGATGTTCGGTAAAGTCACTTTGATTGTTAAGTCGGTGTTTCGAGCATGATGTATGTGTATTTAAAAAGAGAGGTGTATATATATTTTTAGAGAGAGAGATGTCTCTCTAGAAAATAGTGTCTCTATATTTTGTCCTTATGGAGGATAAAAAAAGGTAATTTGGAGTTGTTGGGAGAGAAAAAGTATAGTTTAAGTCTTCTTCTTATTTTTTAAAAGTTGTGTCAAACTTTTTTTTTTTAAGAAAGAGAGAGCCTTATATATACGAGTATGAATTATGGGTATTAGGCATACCATTGGAGTATTGGACCAAGTGGTTATTTGGTCTTAATGTTTATGTAAAGTTGTATCGTTGCTTTACTATGTATTAATGATATAGAGGAGATGGTTAAAGCTTTTTGGATTAAAAGAAACCATTATCAAGACTTCATGTTTTGTGATATTATTCATAAGATATTGAGACTTTTATTTTCATATTGGAACAACATGTCTTTATTATTTTTTTATATAATCATGTTGGAATAATTTATTTGATTGTTATATTATACATATTAAAACATGTTTATGCTTGAGAGCATATTTGTTTGTTGCTAATGATATAAGTTATATGTGAATGTTAGAAAATGAACCAAGCAAGAAAAGAAAATAAAAAAGATTAGACAATCACATTATCAATGGGGGTCCTACAAAGCAGACGAGAAAAGAGTTGCCACCTAACTAATCAAAGACAACTAAGAAATCTTAACCAAGCCGAGTCCGCATAGATATCTAGGTAAGAGGTTGATTATCGGTGGCATGTCATATCGCCAACAAATTAGTAATTTATATTGTCCTTAAAAAGCTTTTAATCATAATAGTGTAATCAAAGCAAGTAAAGGTTGAACCCACTAGGAAAGAGGCTAAATCGATCATTTCTTTTGGTCAAGTATTCTTATGGTGTGAAGAGGGGTTTTGTGTTGAGAGTGTTTGAAAATAAATAAAGTAAAGTAAAATAACAATATTAAGAGAAACCTTGGTTGAATTTTAGTATCCACTTTTAATTTGGTCGCCGATCATTGATTAAATAATTAACTTATCTAAACATGAATATTCACCGTAACACAATAACATGTATGCTAATCCGATCCTTCCTTACTAAGTCGTTAACCGAATATACGATACCCAATTAATTTTCTAGTTATTGAATAGCCTACTAAACGCTGGATGGATTTAATCCAATAATAGCATTAGATAGAGAAAGACAAGTGAAGCTAAGCCACCTTCCTAAGCGCCAACGAAGATGTAATCTAGTTCTATGTTTTCCAAAGAATTGAACGAAAACGTGAAAAATAATTATCAACCCCTAGTTACTACCATAGAAAAGTTTAGATAACCAATTACATAGACTTGAATACTTAGCTAGCAATAAGTTTACATGATCAAACAATTAGCATGTATTCCAATCAATTCAATCATATAACTATAACTCAATCATGCATAAAAACATAAAATACCCAATCAAGATAAATTTAGAAATAAAACCCGTAATCTCATAGCGATTTAACCAAAAGCTTCAACTTGATTCAACCAAGAATAGAGTTTAGTTACTCATAATGGGTTACAAAAAGAGAGTTTTTTTTTTTTTTTTATGAATGGTGGCTACTCGAAAAGTAGGAATCTTGAAATAATAACCTAGTTTTACTATTTATACCTAAAACTAGATTACATCACATAGGTCTCAACCCCTACATGGCCACACTATTTAATACATAAAGTTACATAGTTTGTTACTTATGATTTAAAGGCTTAAAGAATAAATGTTATACATTTTCCCAACTAGGGCACACAACCGTGTGTCTTTTTTCTTCATTTCGTGTTGTTAAGCTAGCCATCTTCATTGTATTGTATGTCACAAGAACATCTAATTCAATCTCTCGCATATGTAACATTATAAAAGGCACAATGATTCGAAGGGTCCATTTCTTTCTAATAAATACGTGGTTCTTGCATTTTCAAGAAAAGAATAGTAAGAATCATGTAAAGAGAGAGATAGAGAAAAAGAAACTCAAATTAAAGAAATTAAGGGATTTATGGAGATGATTAATCGAGTAACTCATATAGATTGGCATTTGTTTTGGTATTTTGCTAATGAACTAGAAATATATATGAGAAATAGAAGAAACTTTAAGAAAACGAAATGTAGAAATGAGGAGGGTGAATTTATAATGAGATATCCTGTTGGAATCTTATTAACGAGTTAGAATTTTTTAAAATGTTTTTAATAGTTTTGATATACCGATGTCAAAAACATATAAAATCACATATAATATATGAGTTGGATTTCTAAGACTTAACCAATATCATATAATATTCTTATTATTTTGAGAGGTGCATAGAATTTTCAAATAAGAGTATATCACTATTATGTCTTTAAAAAAAAATAATTATGAATAAACATTGAAAACAAGGAAAAAAAAGTCAAACATGTCCTTACCTCATTAGGGACCCCAACTACTCGTTTACCTAGCTGAATCTTCCTCTCGTCAAATCAACCACCTTCCAATCAATTTTGACCTTAATCGTACCTCCCATGGATAGCCCATCACTAGATTGGCCAATTCCCACTCGGTTAGATGAGGAGATAACGTCGGAGGGAGAAATATGAGTTTGGACCATCTCAACCCGACCTATTTGATGACCCGGTTGTATATTTCAATTTCGACCAAGCCATTGACTACCACCACATAGACTTAGCCTTCTAACTATTCCGAGTGTTTCTCCTTTAAGTCACGGCCCAATGTCACTAAAAAACAATCTAATCAACAAAGACATGTTTTAAAGAATATAGAAAAAATTAGCCAATTTTGGCCAAATTAGGCCCATAACCACCACGAAACACTCCTTTTAACCTCATGAGTTGATTGGTGTCCACGAAATCCTCTAAAATCATCGAAAGCATTCGTTAAGAAGAGGAGGAGATTTGGTCGAAACTTCAAAGTCGTCAATCTCCCTCCTCCGATGACAGCCTACCCAATCCACTGCCACCATTGGGTTTGCGACAATTTCGTCCACCATGCAAGGTGGTTCATATACTTGAAGGGTGGACGAAAGGTGATCGGACATCTCGATAGTAGCTTTGAGGTCTTGAGTGGCATTTTAGTAATTTTTCCTCCGGGGGCATTTTAGTCATTTCCAATAACATCATAGGGCATTTTGGTCGAGTCTTTAATGAACATTTGGTTTGTTTCTATTATCTATTTGTTTTTATGTATGCATGTTTTTTTAATTACTATTTTAAGCTTAACTTAGATTTAGTATTTTGAATTTCTAAAATTTATTTAGTTAATGTCAATTTTAGAATTTATTTCAATAATTAGGTTAGATAATTAATAGATGGATGAATTATCGAGTATCCTAATTTTTAGAGACTGATAACGATTCCCCATTGATAAAAAGAAAAACAAAAAAAAGGAATGTTAGGAAAATAAGAAGAAAATGTTACAAAAAAAAAAAAAAGAGAAGAAGAAGAAGAAGAAATGTTAGGAAAAAAAGAAAACAAAAAAGAAAATACTAGGAAAAGGATAGAAAAGAAAAGAAGAAAGAAGAAAGAAAATAAAATAAAAAACACTAGAAAAATATGTATTAATAAAGTATTCTATTTAATAAGGGCTTTGTTGGCTAAAAAACACCTTAATAATTAGGATGTACATACCGATTATGTTGAGACGTAAAGTGAATCCGATATTTGAACTAACGTGTCTCCCGATGAAAAGATCCGATAATTGGTTCAATACGATGCCACAAACAAAATTAAAAAAACTTAGTTTGACCTAAAAAAATATAAAAAAAAACTTAAAAATTGATTGAGAAATATTTTGTCAAAAATAAAAAATTTTACGAGATGAATTTTAGGACAAAACTAGATGTGATACCTTTTTTAAAAAATGATGCTTTTGGGTGATTGATATCTTCCCAAAAGCATAACGAACTCCTTATCTTAAAATCTCTATATTAGTGCCTATTTTAGGTTTTTAATTCCTTCAATACTATGTGGTGATTCCAAATCGGTAATAACTCGTATTCTCAAAATAAATCATAAATAATTCAAAAAATTTTTAAATTCTAAATTTTTAGGAGTTTCATCGGATGTTTGGTAGCAAAAGCAACCATGATGTTCGATCAATAGGTGTGAGAGTTTGTGGGTTTTGGTCAAAGGTGTTTTTTGGGTCCGAAAATAAATAGGTTTTGGGATTTATCACTTGGGTTTAAGGAGACTAAGGTCGAGAATGATTATTTCAAGGATGGTTTTAAGGTAGTTTTCATCACGAATGATGGCTAGAGAGGGTGGGGACTAATTGACTTTAGCTAACAAGTTGAGGAAGATTTCGAGTTAATAGGTTGAGGTAAGGTTTATTGATGGTGAGGAGCTATTAATGATGCTAGCTTGGGTTGAGAGAAAAGGAATGAGTCGGTGTGGTGTTTAGAGGTTATAGTGATGGCTAGTGGTGGATGTGAGCCACTCGTGCTTGACTAGGAAGGGGAGCTTTCGAGTTTGACTCGCCATTTAAGTTAGGTGAGGAAGGGTTCGATGGTTATGGATGAAGTTTGTTGGGTTGTAAGCTTTCGGATGTATTTGTGAGGTTTCGATGGTGGCTACTGTAGGTGAGAACAATAAAGACAATAGTTGGAAAAGATGAAGGAGGTAGATGATAGTTGCTATTGTGGTCTTAGTTGGAGAAAATGAAGGAGGAGGAGGGTTATGTATTGTGTGTTTTTGGTTGGAGAAATTGAATAGTAGTTGGACTTAAAATGGAAGGGAAATGGATATGTATAAGGGGCTAATTAGGGTTTTGGATAAAGATTAATTTTAGTCCTTGATTCTTTCATCTTTTTTAGTTTCAATGCATATCTCTTTGGCTTTCTTTCAATGATCTCCTTAATTGAGATTAATCGACCCTTTTTCTTTTTAATTTCTTCCAATTGCGCCTCATCTTATCTTCGATTAAGACTGCGAGGTTTTAAATCCTTTCAATTATACTCTCAATTAGAATTTTTTTATCATAATTTCTCAAAACCTTTTAATTGGACCCTTACATTATTTTTATTCGTTTATTATTTTATTTTATTTTAATTCTCTTTTCTCTCTCCCTTTTTTTTTTAATATATTCTCACAAAACTAAGAAAATTAGGTCGGGTAGAAATTGGGTATTGACAAGCATATGCACAATAGTTCCAAAGTAAGCAAGTGTACAACGAGTTTTTTTTTTTTTTAATAAATATTGTTGTTCCTATCTTATATTATTCATATATTTTCTTATTTTTCTTTAAGATATTTTCATATTCTTAACTCATCTTTAACTAATACCATGTCCAATATTTTTCTTTTCATGTTGTGACTTGTAAGAGTCATTAAGAATCAACCATTAGCCATGAAGGCTTATTTGTGAGCCTTGGATACAAGTAGGATCTTTTGCGCATAAATAGGTATTATGAAAAATAATGGAAGAGTATGGCTTAGAAGGATCAATGTAGGGTTCTTTAAAGACTACAACTATCAAGTTATTAACATGTTCTCGAAAAAAAATTATATACAAGATATTTTCTAGGATACTTGGTGTAAATCCCTAAACACTAAAATTAATACAAATATCACAATTTTATTAGTTGTAAAACCTCATTTACAATCATTGTTTTAGACGTCAAAAGGTCACAATCTCGCTGGTTGCGACACTTCATTCATCCTTATAAATACTCCATAATCATCTTATTTAAAAACTTTTGACTTATCTGTCAATTTCATGTTAAAATTGAACTTGACTTGAGAGTTTTTTCTACGCAAAAATCAATTCCACAATTAAATCATTTAGTACACTAAATGTACTGCCTACCTACTCAAGTACTCTCTGTTAAAAAAGGCCTTCATTTCCTCTCTTAAACTGCTTTTTTATTCATTTTCTTACTTAAAAGGACATCGTTTACTTACAATTTCATAGCTCAACATTGGGCTTTGGCGAATTTGGCACCGCAGGCAGAGGTGGCAATAGAAGATGGCGAGCTGTCAAGCCTACATTGATGCTTGATAATGACAAAGCAACGAGGAAAGCAAGGTTATTGAAGCAATTGAAAGAGGGCATCATTTCGTGGATGTTGGGGGTATAAGGTATACCTTAAATTCTATGTAAGGTGCCTTTGTAGTACTTTACTGTGAATGGGAAAAACAAGGTGGGCTTATATAGTGCTAAGATTTAATGTACATTCTAGCTTTTGGTAGGTGATGTAGTCAAGAAAATTATAAAATCAATGTTGATTTCTTGTTAGCTCACCTTCACGTTCATCTTCCAATTTCAAGTCAACAAATACAGTTTCGATTGGTTATATAATGAGATTAAAATTGGATTCACTGTTTTTCCCAACCAAATAAAGTGCCCTTATCACCTAACATGTGGCCACTCCATACAAAATCACAGCTATATAAGCCCAACTCCAACCTTGATTTTCTCATACATCTACAAGCTACAAAGTTCACTAATTTTCTCAAGGTGTACAAGAATAGTACTCCCTTAACAATGGCCTCTTACAAGTGCTTCATGGTCACTTTCTTCCTTGCTTTGGCATTTTCAAACATTAATGTAGCTCTAGCTGCTCGTCATCTTCTACAATTACCACCTTTGCCTTCAGTTACAAATTTGCCAAAGCCCACCACATTGCCACCTTTGCAGCCCACATTACCAACCTTGCCCACAACCCAACCATCTCTACCTAAGCCCGTACTGCCTGCACTTCCAAGCCTTCCCACCATGCCTACCGTCCCAAAGGTTACTTTGCCACCATTGACAAGCATGCCTACACTCCCCATTAATATCCCAACCACAATGCCCTCTATCCCATTTCTCTCCCCACCACCTGGGAACTAAATCTTGATTCTTGGAAGAGACTGTTCGTTTTGGATTATTTCAGTGCTTAGAAGGAGCTTGGATTATTACTGTTGCTTCGGATTGGTAGTTTATGATGTCATATGAATATTGGATGAGCCGTATGGTTTTGCTGGGTTTCCCTTTCCTTTTTTTTCCCCATTCCATTTGATTTATGCTGAATTTCTGGGATTGTTAATTAGCTACTTCATTGATTGCATTTTGAGTTATTAATTTGTATGATCGTTAATCTCATTATTGTGGGTTTCTCAAGATTTACGTCGCTGTTCGTCATTTAAAAAAAAAAAAAAAACTCTTTAAGAGTACTCTTTATAAAGTTCCAAGAAAGATTATTGCCAGCTTACAATTCCATGAGACAAAAGAAGATGAAAATATATAATTCCTTGAGCTCCTAAAGCGCAAAATTAATCAATACTACCTTAGAATTTTAGATTTGGATCAATATTGCACCGCATTAAAAGCAATTAGTAAAATTCGTTTATTATATATTTACATTTTCTGTTTTTTTACAAATGTTAATATTAGCCCTTTTTACTGGAAAGTAAAAAAATAAAATTATGTAATTTAATTATTTTCGATTGTTGATTTACATACACATACGTAAAACAAGTAAAGTCTCTATTTCGAATCCGGCTTCCTTCTAGTTTTGAATCACTCCAGTTTCCTCAAGTCATTAATTAGATATTGGACACATCATTTCAAAAAATCTAATGGTTAATATTGCTCCATATCATTTACTTCTCAATTTTGCCCTACTTCGTTATCTTTCTGAAAATTACAGAAAAGAAAAAAATATTCACACTCACCAAAAAAGAAAAAAAAATTGTGATTCAAGGAATATTTATTGACACTTATGATTAAGTTAATTTCTTAGATATTAGTTAATGCGATGAGAGGGTTGTTTATTTTTATTTTTTCATATTATTTTTGCTTGGGTTAGAATTAATTTAAAGGGAGATAGCTAAAAAAAAAATCTTGTAAATACATTCGTCTATGGGAGAACAACTAAATTAAAACCAAGAAGGATATAAAGCTCCATTTGTTAATTTCATGTAAAATTACTTGTTCTTGGAAAATAGTTTACATTAATTGTCCTTAAAAAAATTATTTTCTTGGTTTGTCTATGTTAATGAAAATAACTTGAAATAATTGTTTTGTGGTTAGCATGTAGGAAACAAAAATGAGTGTTATGAACGAAGAGACCAGAATTAATTGGCAGTGATTCCAATGATTTAATGACAAAGGTAATCTCGTAAAATACATTTATTCTTAAGGACCGTTAGTTGTTTTATTTTTATTTTCTAATTCTAAATTTACTTTTCTTTGAAAACTTAAAGAATTCATTTGAAAATTCATAAACTAGAGAAGACAAGATGCTATTCAAAAGATTAATCGTTTCTGAATCAGTGAGAAAGTCAAGAAAATCTTTTTTTTTTAAATTGATAAGAATCGATTATGATTTTTGTCATTTTTGTATGAGTTTTGTGAAAATTGTAATGCTTGTATTCTATTTGCAGTATTAATAAAATTGCATTTTCTTTTCAAAATATCGATTTTCCTTTAATCATAAATATATTTTTATCTGATCCAGTTTTCTAGATAAGAGAGCATATGAAAATAAGGAAAATGTTTTAAAGAATCACATTTTAAGTGAAAACTATCCGTATAGTACATGAAGTCCCAAACGGTTTTTTTCCCCTTAAAAAAACAAAAAACTTGACATTAAGTTGATGAAAATTGCATCAAATGCACAAACTTAAAAATACTAATAATTTAAAAATCCATATAAATTGTTAACGAAATTCTTGTGAGGTCCGTCTAATTAAAATATTATGTTCTCCTCGTTGTGTATATTAATTAATTTATTTATTAATAAAAAAAATATGGTCTAGCGATAAAAAAAAAAACTATTTTCATTAATAAAAATTAGGTTGACTTTTCATTACACATAAATAACTAATTATAATTATTTTTAATAGTATTAGATTTGGATTGATTTGATTTAAAAGACAGATTAATAATTAATCAAAAACTAGACTTATTCTGGTGTTGATTAATTAACTCAAAAAATTATAGATTTAATTTCGATTAATATAAAATTTGGCTACAAAATTTCTCTCCCTACATATATACACACGTCACCTTCTACTTGCTTACTGTCTTCCTGATTGTTATTTTTAATTTCGCCAATGTTTGAGCACCATCACCAATTAGGAATTTGTTTGCTGGCATATATAGTCAAATCATGACCATTATAAATCCTCCATTAATAAGCCATTTGTTCCATTTCTGTTTAATCATTTCCTTGTTTCAATTCAATGTTTAAAGATATCTCACGCAAGATTTTTTCTCTTTACTATAATTTTTTTATTTAGTTTCCTCGGCATCGGTTATTTTAGAAATTATTATTATTAGATAATAATATAAATTATATTATGCAATCTCATCAATAGTTAAACTTTTTTATTAAGATAGTTATCTGATATAATATTAGAGTTTTAATAATTAAATAATTATATTTCTAATCAAATAAAAAATAAGCACAAAGTAACAATAAATGGTGTAAATTTAAAGTTTTAAATTTTTTTTTACAAATACACATTAAAAAATAATATAAATAATATTTTAGAATCTCACGTGCTAGTTTAATTTTTTTTATTAAAATAATTTTTTTTATTAAAATAATGATTAATTTGACAACTGCGTGACATAATACGAGATCAATATTGAAAAGATGCATGGAGTAACTTATACAGATGAACTTCTAAAGGCATTTGGCGATCGAGCTGGGCATGTATGGCTTGCTCACGACACTATTGTACATGGTGGTGAAGTCATCTAACAACACAAACTGGACTAACTAAGGTTTGGAAAAAAATATGAATAGCAGCAGCAAAAGTGAAATGAAATCCATATATAGTATCTCAAAGTACATCCAAACAATCCAATCCCACTAACTTATTAACACAGAGGTAAAATAGGAACACAATGTTCAAAAAGAACTAAATCACAAACGAACACCTGAATGCCTCTCTAGATATATATATATATAGATGAAGCTACGAAGGATGAGCTAAAATAACACTGTAGAGTCCAATGAATGGTAATATATAGCCATTGCTCTTCATATAATTATGACGTCCAAGGATCATTAATTAGTTTCCAGGTGGTGGAGAAAGAAATGGAATAGAGGGAATTGTGGTTGGGATAGAGGGGATTGATGGAATGCTTGGTAGTGGAGGCAAGGTGACCTTTGGGACGGTAGGCATGGTGGGGAAGCTAGGAAGTGGAGGCAATGTAGGCTTAGGTAGAGATGGTTGGGTTGTGGGCAAGGTAGGCAATGTTGGATTGGTAGGCAAAGGTGGCAATGTGGGCTTGGGAAAATTTGGCACTGAAGGGAGAGGTGGTAATTGGAGAAGATGGCGAGCAGCTAAGGCTACATTGATGCTTGAGAAGGCCAAAGCAATGGAGAAAGCAAAGATGAAGCACTTGTAAGAAGCCATCAACATATAGTAGATGTTATTTTACCTCAAAATTTATGTAAAGCTTGGTAATGTTTTGAATGAGAAAACAAGATCTGCTATGAACACTTATATAGAAACGAGATTTACAGTACAGTCTAGCCTTCGTAGGAGATGAAAATTAATAAAACCTTTTTCTGTTTCCTTGTTAGCTCACCTTCAAATCCGTCTTCCACTTTAATGTGTCAAATTATAGTTGCGGTTGGTGAGATTGATGTTTGAATATATTCCAAAAACGTTCTACTATACGGGAAACTGGCAAGCATTATCAAGATAATCCAAGAAAGAGGGTGGCCTTCTAATGTGAGATAAGAAGGAATGTCCATGATTAGAAATTAAGTCTTTGTTTGGTGCCGTGGCTTCACCCCTCTAGAACTGAAAGGTTAGATAGCCCACCAATTAGAACTCAAAACAGCTTGATTAGCAACCATTTTTGACTTGCTTGTTTCTATCTTATAGTTATTTAAGTACTTCACGTACAACTAACTATATATGTTGCTTTTAAAGACAAAACATGCTGAGAAGGTGAACTACCGAATAACTTGAAAGAAATGGTGTTCACCGTTTTTCCCAACCAAATATGTGGCCAAGTGGCCAAACCTATAAAAATCACAACTATATAAACCCAACATATACCAATCTTGTGTTTTCTCACATATCATTACAGAGTCGGTGTGTTCAAAAACTCTTGAAAAACTCTTAAAGATGGCCTCTTTCAAGTGCTTCATCCTCGCTTTCTTCATTGCTTTGTCATTTTCAAACGTCCATGTTTCCTTAGCTGCTCGCCATCTTCTACAGACACCACCTCTGCCTACAGCACCAAATTTGCCAAATCCCACTTTGCCTCCTTTGCCTACTATACCGACTCTGCCCCAACCCACATTGCCAACCTTGCCCACAACCCAACCATCTCTACCTAAGCCCACGCTGCCTCCACTTCCAAGCTTCCCCGCCATGCCTAGCATCCCAAAGGTTACTTTGCCTCCATTGCCAAGCATGCCTTCACTCCCTACTATCCCAACCACAATTCCTTCCATCCCATTTCTCTCCCCACCACCTGGAAACTAAGTCTTCTCTATTGTCGTCTCCATAACAGAAAGAGGCCTTGGAACATATTTGATGTCATATATATACTGGAAGGTGGCATTGCATTTATTGCTTTTCCCTATTTAGCTCCTTTTATTTTCCTCATACTTGTCTCTATACAGTTAGTTCCGGTAATTTTATGATCACCATTCATCAGTTTCGTTGATGTATTGTACAACACATACACATATAAATATATGAATACCACAAATGTTTTCAATTTTTTTCATGATATGTATCAAAGTTTAAATGGTCGCTATTAATCAGCTTAGTTTTGTGAAAATAAGAATTGAGTACTGATTATGCATTGTGATCCAGACAGCCAAAGGAAACAGAACATGAGACTAGATGTGAAAGTCCTTGAGCAGCTAGAGAACCATGGGATTAAGAAAAAGAAAAGGTTTTGTTTTGCTCTTGAAATATTTTTTGGGCCAGAGTACTTTATTTAGCCTGCAAGACTATTTCCTATCAATGGGCCTGTGGATCTATCCTTTTCTTGTTTTTCTTGCTTTCTTTTTATTGTTTTTTTGGATGGAATTGCAAGCAGATCCATCTAATGATGGCCCAATAGAAACCAGGTATTTCTTTTTCGAGACTTTGACTTGGCTCAAAGGGCTGGTTACGTTTACCTGAAGCACTTGCTGGTTAATCAGCATAGAGTGAGATATAACTGGTTACTTCTAGTATTAAAAATAATTGAAGAAATTGACCGGAATATAGCTAGGATTGTCTAAGCATACTTATTGTGTTGAAACGTAGTGCCACCGAACCTAATAGCTGCCGACGCTTTTGCAAATCTATTCAAGTCCCAAAAAGACAAATGTTTATGTTGCACTAAAAAGGAAATCCTAATTACATGATAATTGCTATAAAATGAAGACTAATCCAAAATGAAAAAATGGGGATTTGTTACCAACAAGTTGTGGTTCATTGATAAACTGATTTTTAAATAAATTTTTTATCAATATATAAAATTTGAACTTGTTACGACGGAATAAATCTTGTTATTTTTGCTTTAAATATGATTGGTCATATTTCTAATATGAGATGGGTATACTTCTATTAAAAAAAAAATGATTCCAATTAATAAATGAGTATATTTGTCTACCCTATTTATTTACTTCACCATATAATCCAATTTTGTCAGAATTTAATTGATAGAGATGAGACTCAAGCATGATATCTCATTCTTTTTAATTATTTATGCACCTTTTTTTACTAATCTATCAATAATCTGGTTCCAATTAATTTACTCACTTGGATACTAGTTTAGGAAGCAGTTCGGCCGTTGAAAAGATTTATACAAACCAGATTTTTTTTTTGGCAATATTAATACAAATTGAAGTACAAAAATCTAGATATATATGTACCTTTAGGGTTAATTATTACTTGGTCCCTATATTTAATAAAATAATTAATTAGTTGTCATGATTTTTGAAATATATTCAATCCTTATATTTTTAAATTTATTTATGATTTACTCTTTTGTCAATTTCATGTTTTTTTCTTTTTGAAAAAAAAAGTAGAACAGAGAAAAGATAATATGAGAAAATTCGATTAGGAAATGAGGCAGTTTTAAAACCAAAAATTACTAAATTAAGAATGGTTGGCACTGTTCAAAGAATTATTTGCTTATTTTAAACACTACCAAAACTAATTAATTAAAATTGATAAACTAGAAGAATTAAGTTATAATGAAATATGTACTTATACAACACTAGCGGTGCTGAGAGTTTGAGAATCATTTTGATTTAAGAGCGTTTTCAACCATTTAATATGCCAGATTTTTTTTTTTTCTTTCCAAAAGAGTCGCTAGCTTGAGCTACAAACTCAATCCTGAAACCATGAGTAAGTTATAGATTACTCGTTTTAATTTTTCAATGATAATTAAATAGTGTCTCTAGTTTTAAAAATTAATTCGTTAGTTTCTTAATCAGTATTGATTTTGTTTAATTAAATTAAATTTATTTTTTAAGAAATATTTTTTCTAATCAATCTTTCCATATAATACTTTTTTTCATTTTTTAAATTGAATTATAATATGAAATTGACTATATGGACAAATCAATTAGTTTTTGAAAATAAAGGGATTATTTCATTTGTTTGGCAAAACTAAATGGACTAATTTATAATTTACTCTACTGACCACAACTCTTCTTTTGTAGCAATGGACATGCTGACGTACGCACGAGACTATTAATAGTAATAGATATTTATTAGACATTTGATTGCAAGAATTTACTTTAACAAGAGAAAATAGTCAACGTGACAAAGGACACACACAGACAGACAGACAGGCGCACACACACTATATATATTGAAAGAAAATATATCCTAGTTAGAAAAGAAGCACGGTGAATTTTCAGTAATGTAATAGATAAAATAGTGTAATGGTGGATGGATCTTCTTATGGACTACTTTATGGGCCTTTTGATCGGTCCTCTATATAATATCAAAAAATGACACTTGACACTTGGAATCAAAATTGTCAATAAGATTAATTCTTTTTTATTTTGTATTTTTATTTTCAAAATTAATTTATTCACTCTGTCTTTTTTTTTAAATAATTTTATTGATAAATGTGACTGTTGGAATAAAACAGAATAACAGTTATTTAGTTTAATTTAAAAACTTAATTGTGTTTATTAATATTTTCATTTATTTTTTTTATAGAGTTTAAAAGTTTAATTGTATCTTGAATGTGTTGTCTCTCTAAGAGACAAATAAACAACTTTAAAACAGTGTTTTTCACATCTCTGATTCTTTTTCTTTGTTTCTTTCTTTATATATATATATATATATATATATATATATATATATATATATATAGCAGTGCTACATGACATTAGTAGTGTAAAAAAACAATCATCTTAATTTTATAAAAGTAATATTTTTTTAGAATCATATAAAAAATGATATTTTATTTCAATAATTATTAATATTTTCATTTTCTAAATTTATCTCTAAATTTTTTTATTTTAAAAAACGATGTCTGTGAACATATTAAGTACTAATATTTTCTATATATATATATATATATATATATATATATATATATATATATATATATATATATATATATATAGCTGTCAAGCATTCTTTGAGGAGAAGTAATAATGGAGTGGAAATGTAGCATAGGCATGCAGTGATAGGCATGGATCCCTAAGATAGCTTACAAGACAAGGAAACGTTCGTTTACGTCAGCTTCGTCGATTTCCAATAAAGAACATTGTATAGCCAGCATGTCGTCATCTCAACATATTTTCAACGTTACATGCCACCTATATAGCTTTGGATTGATGGGTTAAAACGTTTATCATGCATGAGAGGCAGGCCTGGTTGTGCCCATGTACAGCAAAACAATTGGCTCGCATGAATTTATCGGCATAAATGGTCAATAAACTGCCAGTTGAACAGGTTAATTTCCGGTTCAACCCAAGGATCGATAAATCGAAAGTTTTGGGCAATTCATACATCACGCCCCTCTTCAGTTCTGATAACTATATATATATATATATATATATATATATATAATAAACGCGAAAGACATATTTATATCACTCATTTTATATGGAAAAAAAAATTAGCTTGTTTACTTTAAAATTAATTTAACTTTCTTTTTGGCAATTTATGACAATTTTATTGACTTTACATGTTTATATCTGAATTGATTGTGTGATAATTGACTCAACAGACAAAGCCATGTTTAATCATGTTGATAGTGTCCCTCATTTAGGTTGGTGATTTAAATCATGATCACTATTTAAGCAAATTTACGTTTTTTTTTGGTTTTAATTTTGCCGTTTTCACGTATTGTGTTCATTTATATAGTATGCTCAATACTGTCGTCAACTAGAGCAGCCAATTTTCTTCGGCGGCATATGAAGTCTAATGGGACGTTATTTTCTTTACATAATGAGCAATGGGGAATTAAAATCCTTCCTTTTTTTATATATATAATTTCAACTTAAGAAATCAACGAGGGTGGACAATTTTTCATAAACATTGCAGGTGGTCCTCAATATAAATTTGTTTGAAGATGTTAAATTACATCTAATAAAATCAACTAATTTATGAATGACCTTATTATTCGTATGACTATCATGAGTGAAAATATAGAATAGATCAGATTAGTTAGATATTTAGTGTCTAAGGTAGTAGAAGATAAATAACGATCGTTAGAAAATGAATCAAGTAAAATAATATATGTAACTTTTAGTTTCTTTAACACTCTATCTCGAATAAGGCTGAAAACATACTTTTTTGAACAACCACAAATTATAAAGAGGCCTAGTTACTTGTCATGCCCCTCTGCTACCTTTACTTGCATCCTTTTCTAGATTCAAGGTTGAATATGTATTGGAATATTTTGACTAAAAGAGAGTTTTGACTTATCAAAATTAATTTATCGACCTAAGGCATTCTCATAGTTCTGGAGAATACAAAGAAGTTCCTTCACCTCTTGGATTAAGGCATTGTTAAAATAGATTATCATTAATAAAAAAAAAAAGTGAAAAATCGACATTGCATGTTTATATATTTTTAGACCATGGATGATGGAAACCATGGAGCTAAATGAACTAGCAAGGTGGTGTCTTCAAGGGAGGTCCAGGATGATGAGTTTACAAGTTCAAGAACTGATCCATTACACATTAAAGATGGTCTAATGATGCGAGCTAAGGCTAAGAAGCTTAAAAAAACTCTCAATGGGTTGATTCAAGAGTGTTGGGCAAAATGCACATCTAAGGACCCAAAGGGGCATTGTGGCACTATCTTAAGAAATGAGGAGGATCCAAGACTTGTCAATCCGATCCAAGTCTAAGATTGGGCTCCTTAAATTATATTGGGCCTATTTTATTATATCTAGCTTAATTATAATTAGAACTAATTAATTAAGTCGATTTAGACTCAATATTTTAAGCCTTATTATTTTCGTATTCTTTTAAATCCA